GGGTTTGGCATTGCTGACCACCTTTTTAAAAATGTTAAACAATGGTAGGTTAGCCAAGCTACTGGTCAACAAAGTCACTGACCTGGAGAAAGTAGGCAGATTGGATAGTTAAAGAAAAATAAGGACTTTATCTGCATGTTTGTTGCCTGGATAGTTCGAGGCAACAAATATGCAGATAAAGACCTTTTTATATTTCTCCAAGTATTGAAGTCCAACATGTTCCAGTCCCAAGTTTCTGGTCTTCCTCAGTGTACAGGAGGTGGTGTCCTTCAGGTGTCCACACCACTGCCCCTGAGAAGTGGAATCGTGCTATTGGCTATACAGAGGTGGGTTCCTTTTAGGATCCAGAGGAGGGTGACCTCAACCAAAGGGGACTGATGAGGATTGGCTGATGCAGGCACATTTTACCAGGCTGGATTTAAAATTCTGCGTGGTTTCTGTTAAAGTAGAATTTCATTATGGCATATTATACATAGTTACATTGGTCCAAACTAGATCAATGCAACTATATACTGTATATACCATACCTGTGAGATCCTTGAGAAGCTGAAAATCTTTGTAGTAGACTTTCTATGCCAGTGATCTCAATTTGCTTCTCGGTCCTGTGCCAAGCGGCTTCCCTGCTGTATCATGAACACAGAAGTTCGACCGCTTGGCATGGTCGCCATTCAGAGAATGCTTTGAATTGTCATTGAATGCAAAGCGTTCTTTGATTGGACAAGGCGTAGGAGGTTGGATCACCACCCTGCCTTTTACAGCTTGTCCAATTGGAGAGCACTTTGTAATCATTGAGCAAAGCATTCTTTGAATGGCACTGGTACTGAGTGACTGATCTTCTCTGTTCACAATGCAGTAGGAGAGCAGCTTTGCACAGGACCTGGAATGCTAGTGGAGGTCACTGGATTATTGATGTTTACTATAGTTTTCAGCTTCTAGAGGGATTTCACAGGTATGGTATATGCAACTATGTGAAGAATGTAATACCTGGAATTTTGTTGACTAAGATAAAAAAGCCAATGCAGGTATTGGTGTGTACATTCCTTCCCCCACCCCCACCAACTGTCCAGGTTTGCTCATTATTGAATGCCTGCTATCCTTTCTCTTAACAGATCGCCCCTCTCCTCCATTAGGGAAGCCACTTATCTCAGCCTTGCTGCCCTCATCGCTCACCCTCTCCTGGTCAGGGCCATGTTATGATGGTGGCAGTGCTATTCTGAACTACAGGGTTGAAGAAAAGCAAGTTGGACAGGACAGTTGGAGACTGCTAACAGATACCTGCGTCAACACATCGTATAATATAAATTCTGGACTGGTGCCAGGTCAACAGTATCAGTTCCGCGTAAGGGTCTGTAACGCCTACGGAGCGAGTGATCCTGGGGACGAGTCTGAAGTTGTTACCATGTCATCCGCTGCAGGTAAGAGCACAAGTTTCTCTGTGTGCTTCAAGAACTAGGCCAAGTACTATTTGAATGTAAACTAGCCACATATCATATTTCCAGTGTGATATCAGAAGAATACGTAAAAATTACTGCAACATAACTGCTTATATTTGGTGATTTTCAAAAGCTCCTTGTTTGAAAATGACAGGAAAGGAGGAAGAAGAAGGCAATGGTCATGAATTGATGGAGTATGTCAAATATTGATGTGTATACAAGACTGTAAGGGGATGTTATCCCAGATTGAAGAGTGGTGGGGAGGACTGGATCATTAGGATTTCCTAGGAGGGGAAAAAGAATGGGTGGAGGATGTACTGTAATTCAAATGTTAGTCTTTATGGCTTGGAAAGAGTCAGCCTCTGTGGGCTATCTAGAAGGTCCACATGAAACAGGTGTTCTCTGGGTCATTGCTGTTGGCTGCCACCATGGTCTCCATTGATTTGAGGATCTGGGTCTATTCTTCGCTATACAACAGGAAAATTTCCAATGCTGGCAATTGGCAACTGAAACCACTAACACAGTGTCTCAAGATGCCCTTTCTTGATTTTTGGATAAAAACCTTAGAATCATCAATGCCAAAGCCACTCAGGGGAGGTTGAAATATCTGAAAGGCACATATTATTGTATGTGGTAAAAACAGCCTTCCAAAAGGCATTGAGCAGGTGACAGTCACACCAAATGTGCAAGTAGGTGCCTTTCTTTTGAGCATCTCCATCAAGAGCCCTGGGTTGATGGTTAAATGTGCCTTAGCTCAAAGAGACCCCGATACCAGAGGGAAATCTTGTTTTTAATAAGACTGGGACATTTTATGCATGATAAAATATTTCTTCCAGTTTTCAAGAGAATTGTCTCTTCTAGGTAATATTCCCTGTTAGATATCAGCAGTGGTCTACTCCTGGAGGTCTTGTCTCTCATCATGTGATACAGTTGTGAAGCCACGTGAATGTGTGCACAACTTTTTAGATACCAGCAACTATGTAGTGAAAAGGGCTACCCATACACTCACCGGCCACTTTATTAGGTACAACTTTATAGTACCGGGTTGGACCCCCTTTTTGCCTTCAGAACTGCTTGATTCCTCGTGGCATAGATTCAACAAGATGTTGGAAACATACCTCAGATTTTGGTCCATATTAACATGGCATCATGCAGATTTGTCAGCTGCACATCCATGAACTGCTGATACAAGGCAGGATGAATCCATGCTTTCATGTCTATTCCAAATTCTGACCCTACCATCTGAATGTTGTAGATGAATTGGAGACTCCTCAGACCAGGCAACATTTTTCCAGTCTTCTATTGTCCAATTTTGGTGGGCCTGTGTGACTTGTAGCCTCTGTTTTCTTGTTCTTGACTGACAGGAGTGGAACCTGGTGTCCTTTTTGCTGCTGTAGCCGATCTGCTTCAAGGTTCAACATGTTGAGTTTTCAGAGATGGTATTCTGCATTCCTTGGTTATAACGAGTGGTTATTTGAGTTACTGTTGCCATTCTAACATCTCAAACCAATCTGCCCATTCTCTGACTCAACAAGGCATTTTCATCCACGCAACTGCCGCTCACTGGATATTTTCTTTTTTTTTCGGACCATCTCTGTAAACCCTAGAGATGGTTGTGCATTTAAATCCCAGTAAATCAGCATTTTTTTAATTTCTTTTTTTTAATACACAGCCCGCCTGGCACCAACAACCATGCCACATTCAAAGTCACTTAAATCCCCGTTCTTCCCCATTCTGATGCTCAGTTTGAACTTCAGCAAGTAGTCTTCACCACGTCTCGATGCCTACATGCATTGAGTTTCTGCCACGTGACTGGCTGATTAGCAATTTGCTATCAAAAAATTGAACAGGTGTACCTAATAAAGTGTTCGTTGAGTTTATAATCACATTTCTAGCCAGTCAAGTTGACCCTTGCACAACAAACTTGGTAGTATGCCCCAATGGTATAACATACTCTATCCGGAATGGCAAACTCTGGGCATTCAAAATGGAATGAAGGGGCTGCCTGTACCAATTTTTTATTTCAGTAGTTGCAGCATTCTATAAGATAACTTAATGTTTTCTGATTACACCCAGTAGATGGTGAGACAGAGTGTGAAGAGGCGGAGGAATACAGGACTGTCTCCATGAACAGCACAGACCGTGTGGATGCACTGTACACCAGACTGGAGAAGCTTGGAGTGTAAGCGTTGGGCTGTAAAGGACCACTCTTGCACACATCATTCTGCTCAATTGTCAACACCTTGTTATGTCTTTTTTTTTTTTTTCCAAATATTATGTCCAAGAACCATGCCCTTATAAATATGCCTCATATTGCTTCAGTCCCATCCGAGTTGGTGAACTGTAACGCACACACAGTACGCACCCATCCCCACCTTCCTAAACGCTGCTGAACATCTCCATCTTGTGGACATTGTTGACTCTAAATTTCCTCTCGTGAAATAACTGGGGTGGTGAACTTTTTAGATACTCAGTGCTGTGAATTTAACCCTGGACTAATTCTTATTTGCCCCTTAATGATGCTCCTGTAAAATTTCAGTCTGCCAATCCACACTTTTTTTTTTCTTTTTGGAAGATTATAAAATTTGTAGCAAAAGTTCCATCTGAAGGCTTTACACAGGTCCCAAACTCACTTTCTGTGTGAAACACAATCCTCAAAGGAAGACCAATTTTCTTTACTTTTGAGTAAGCCAAATCCTCATTTTTTGTACTGCCCCCTGGAATTGAATGCTGCCCCCTTCCAGACATGAACCTGGAATGCTGCCCCCTTCCAGACATGAACCTTGAATGCTGCCCCCTTCCAGACATGAACCTGGAATGCTGCCCCCTTCCAGACATGAACCTGGAATGCTGCCCCCTTCCAGACATGAACCTGGAATGCTGCCCCCTTCCAGACATGAACCTGGAAGGGTTTTGGCAACCAAGGCAGTGCTGTCAGTCCAGAAAGCAGTGGTCAGGACTAGGTGTGGCCAAGTACTTACTGACCAGCTCCAAAATTATTTACAGTGACTATAGCCATGTCCCTTTTTGTATTTCAAACAGGCTCCGCCTACATGAAGGTGATAACGCTAATTTGAATTCAAGAGCAGTGCAGCCATGTTGTCATCTCATTGCCCCCCCCCCCCTCCCATTTGCAGTAGCTCCAAAGTCAGTAATGCTGTAATGGAGGAGATGGTGCACCGCATGTGTGGGGGTTTGAGAGCTCATTCCTGTGATGGTGGGTGGTGGGGGTGAGCAGTAATGGCTGGGAGTGTCCTAGCAACAAGGCAGGATGAGATGATGCTACCTCCTGAGAGTTTTAGGGAGATATGTAAATGGCAGACATAATAGGCAATATTAAAGGCTGCTTAGGCTGTTTTTTGGAGTAAAAAGCAATCTGAGGTGTAATTTAAAAAAAAACACATTGTTTGAGGTCTCTTGTTTAACAGTTTATGTTCTACATTTGTAGCCTCACTGCAGGCTTTTTTCAAATTTTATTTAAGAAAAAGGAAGGTTTCATCACAGTCAGTAACATAGATCTTGAAATACACAACTCGGTGTAAAACCTGACTTCCAAGACAATCAGCTATGACCTTTTTTTTTTTTTTATACCTCTGTACAGTAAAAGGGCAAATAAGAACCAAGGTAAGGGAGACCTCATATAGGAACTTCCAAGACTGGCGCAAAGTGACTCAATCTTTTTGTCTATCTTCCAGGGGGAAGTTTGGCCAGGTGTTCAAGCTTCAGGAGAAGGCCACCGGAAAGATCCGGGCCGGAAAGTTCTCAAAGGCACGGTTGCAGAAGGATATAGCCAATGCTCGAGCGGAGGTGGAGTTGATGAATAAGCTCCATCATCCCCGGCTAGTACATCTGGTGGCTGCTTTCCAGGAACCAGGCTGGGTGATCCTGGTGATGGAATAGTGAGCATACTTGCACGTTTACAAGACTCGCTTCATTTATCTATAGATGTTCTTCCTTTTTTTTTTTTTTTTTTTTTCTCTTTTCCATCTAGGTTTGTGTTTCCTTATGTGTCCTCCTGTTCCCCACTTCTCAAGGATCATTGTCCACTCTTTCTTCCACATTGAATACTGTCCACTCCTTTTCAGCCATATTGGTTACTCCCCAACCCACCTGTCTTTCTCCTCTTCTCTACAATTCAATACCTGCTCTTCCTTTTTACCTTTTTGACATCCTATAATTTTGCTTCCACCATCTTGTTGTCACCGGACATGTCCCGTCTTATGTTCTTCTCTCACTTTCTCTCCATCCTCTTGAATGTAGTCAGTACTCATATTTGGTTCCTCTAATAGTTTCCTTTCTCTCTCTTTCAGTATTGCAGGAGGAGAGCTATTTGAGCGTATAGTGGCAGATGATTTTGACCATACGGAGATCACCAGTGTTCAGTACATGTCCCAGATTATTATTGGTGTGGGTTATATGCACAAACAGGGCATTGTCCACCTGGACCTCAAACCGGAGAATGTTGTCTGTGTCAGCAAAGTCGGCACAATGGTGAAAATTGTTGACTTTGGCCTGGCCAGAAAACTTGGTAAGTTGAGATCATTCAAGAGCATTTTGGTGTATTTTCTGTGTACGGATATCCGGAGCGTTTTTAACAGTGACTTTTTTTTTTTCTTTTTTACAACTGGCCAATTGGCCAGCTCCAGTGGGTTGCTTTTAAAAAAGTCCTGGATTCTTTCCTAGTATCCAGTTATATTCTGTGTATCTAACATTTATAGGTAAGGTTGATCCAGGGAATATCCGATTTTGCCTCTCGGGGAATCAGGAAGGAATTTTTTTTTCCCGTGCAGGAGCAAATTGGATCATGCTTTGCTGGGTTTTTTGCCTTCGTCTGGATCAACTGTGGTTATAAGATTTATATATTTTTTTTTTTTTATTGAACTGGATGGACTTTTGTCTTTCAGCCAGACTAACAATGTAACATTTGTCTTTCCATAATTTTGTTAATGTATTATGTTCGTTTAGCAAGTGCAATTATGCCAGCCATAGATGGTTCCAATCTGGGCCGATTCAGCAAGGACCGGCCAAGATTTGAACCATCTATAGGCAGACTGATTATACCCAAGTATTATTATTATTATTAATATATATATATATATATATATATATATATATATATATATATATATATATTTATATATTCTCTATCTTTAACCTCCAAAGAAGGAATAGGAACGTGTATTAATGCGATGAGTTAGAATGTAATTTATATGCAGCATCACCACCTAGAGAAGGGTGATTGCAGAAATGGATAGAATACTGTAAGGGATTAGCACATGGTTTCACTCTTCGCTTCTTTTTCCATCTTAGAACCTGGAGTCCCAGTGAAAGTGTTACAAGGGACCGCGGAGTTTGTAGCTCCTGAGGTCATTGCATATGAACCTGTGGGGTTCACAACTGACATGTGGAGTCTGGGAGTAATCTGCTATATTTTGTAAGTGTTATGGCTACTTGTCTGCTTGTCATCAGCTATACTTCTTACCTTTTTTTAGTTGTTTTATCAGTCCATTGGTTTCACTTTGTGCTGATACTTGCCTATCCTCTTGTGAAGTCAGAATTAGTCCTCATGCCCACTTGACGTTTTTACAGCTGCTGTTTTTGGCTTTTATTTATTTATTTCAGGTACTTGTATAGCGCCGTCTATTTACGCAGAGCTTTAAATCTATATATTGTACATTCACATCAGTCCCTAACCCTCAAGGGGTGTACAATCTAAGGTCCCTAACTCACATTCATACATACACATACTAGGGACAATTTAGAGAGGACCCAATTAACCTACCAGCATGTCTTTGGCGTGTGGGAGGAAACCGGAGTACCCGGAGGAAACCCACGCAGACACAGGGAGAACATGCAAACTCCAGGCAGGTGGTGCCGTGGTTGGGATTCAAACCAACGACCCTAGTACTGCCAGGCGGAAGTGCTAACCATTTAGCCACTGTGCTGCCCTTCCTTCTTTTTTTTTTTTTTTTTTTTTTTTTTTTTTTTCTTTTTTCAGCTAGTAAAACCCCCCCAGCATGTTATCCTATGTGTCCATGCACACAGACTGTTATCCAATGTTTTTTTGGCTGGAAATAAAACCCAGAACTAGTTTGGTTTCTAGAGGAGTTTTTTTTTTTTTTTTTTAGCTGTAAAAAACGCTTTAACGCAGTAAAACGCCTCAAACTGGTGTTTTTTGGACGTTTTTGACTGAAAAACTCACGTTTTTAATATGACTTTACACAGCTAACATTACCAGCATTCTCAAAACGTCCCTTGTGCATGAGGACTTAATGCTTTAGTCCTTGATAGATTTAAAGAAACATCATCTTTTGCTTGGGAGAGACCTTGCTGATGCAGTAAAACTACCTTGTGTCTTGTTGCTGTGCTCAGCCTTGCCATGGTGTATCACCTGTGACCGGAAACGGTCTTCCACAACCTCACCTTGGTAGCAGAGTGTGGCTGTTCCTCACCCAGTGTTAAGCCTTCTACAGTTGTTTCAGTTATTAAACTTGGGGGTGAATCTGCTCTGAAAGTCCCAGGTACGCCAGGCAATATGCATAAAAATGTCAACTGTACTATTAAAAAAAAAAAAAAAAGTAACTTTTTTGAACGCCATCACCGGTAAGTGATCAGCTGAACTTCCTACCTTTTCACACACCATGCTATTTTGGCCCCGGTCACTCGCCCCTCTCCATGTGCATTTCTGTTTCAGTTAATGACTACCTTCATATGAAATGGATCATTGGCTCCTGCTTGTAATAATTGGCTAATCATACACCTACAAAATCCCTGACTTTGGCTTCAAACCAGCATCAGATCATATACTTGCACAAAGGGTAGTCACACTAAATATTTGATTTAGATTTTTCTTCTGTTCACTCACTTTGCATTTTGTAAATTGATAAAAAATAATTAAACATATATTTTTTAAAACGTTCTTGCGTTACAGGCGCATCTTTATCCTTACCATGGAGATTATTTGATTTAACTGTACAAAAAATGGCAACCACCCCAACCTATAACCAGCCTTTACAGTAAGGTGCACATGGAAGAGCTATGCACATCGCAAACAAAAAGATTTCCAAGCACACTTGCCAGCCCGCAAAACTGAATTGCCCTGTCTAACAGTTTGCATGAAGAACAGAGGGTTTTGTTTGAACACACTTGCAAAATACATGTGTAAGCTGCAGTGCCCATGCCTCGGTCCTAAATCTATAATTTTAAGGGCAAGCATGCCTGGAAGGATACCTTTCTCAAGGCGGAGGACTGTTTGGACAGCAAAGGACTAGATGTACACTACTACTTATTCTCTCTTCCTGTCAGCATGTCACCCTTAGCACAACACACTTGGACTTTAATATACAAATATCTCTGCATAAGTCACTTGTATAAAGTATATCCATAGCCAAAGAAATGTTTTTGGATAGGGGTGAGGGCGTTTAGACCTTTTTGTTGACAACCTAATTCTTTTTTTTTTTTTTTTTTTTTTTTTTTTTTTTTCCCCCCCCCCAACTGTCTATTGTCCTGATGGCCACTCACAGGAATAGAAAGTGATTGGAAAAAAGAAAATGTTAATAATGTTTTGTCACCAGATTGAAAACGGCAGGGCTGTTAACCATCCACTACTCTTTAAAAAAAAAAAAAAAAAAAAAAAAAAGAAATATATATATATATATATATAATATATTTTACGAATATTTTTACGCATCAAACTAGAATCTTGTGTTTTTGGGTTTTTTTTCTCCCCCTTGTCTCCAGGCTCTGTGGGGATTCCCCCTTCCAAGGTGAAAATGATGCGGAGACCCTGAGGAATGTCACGTCTGGTAGCTGGGATTTTGATGACGAGACTGAGGCTATTCTCACTGACTCTGCCAAAGATTTCATTAGCAGGCTTCTGCAGAAGAACATGAGGTGAGCTGTGGGGACCTAGATTAGGAGATGTAAAGGTCCAATTACCGATCTGCTTTTTTTTTTTTTTTTTTTTTTTTTTTTTTTTTTTTTTTTTTTTTCCCCCTTTTCCAGACCTCATCAAACCCAGTGTATATACACCCACATGGGTATAGGAGCTTCTGATCCGATCTGCCTGTAAAACTCAGGTGGACCTGATCTGATTGCCCGTCTGAAAGGGGCCTTATTAAACACAAAAGCACACATTTAATTTGTTGCAGCTTACCAATTCTTAGAGGTGGTGGCTTCATACAGGTTTTTCAAAATAACAGGCAGATGTTTTAAGTCGGTGATGATATAAACCATTTACCATTTACCATGTAATGGGTGCTTACAAAGATCGGCTTTTATTTATGTAAAACCTTTATCCCAAAGGGAAAAAAAAAGTTTGCTTCAACTGATTATAAGGTGTTACCTGGCGTTTGGATTCAAATTGTTAGTGTATCTAAATCTGCTAGTCCCCCTCCCGTCTTAGACTGACAATGCTGCTGCTCAAAGGTGCCCCCCTGTGCTCCTTCATCCAGAGTGGGGGTGCTCTAATACAGGAGGTGTGTTACTGGCCAGATCAACAGGTGAAAACTGGGGAAAAAAAGCCTACAAAAAGGGAAAAAAAATCAATGCAGCCACCTCACGTAATGATTGGTAAGCTACAAAATATTTTTGGTTTGGGGTTTAATACCGATTTTATATTGCATGGACTGGTAAAAAATTTAAATTTTTCCATCAGGACCTGCACTAGAAATGGGGATATGTGGTTGTCACCAAGACAAGAAGTCTTGAGCAGCACTTGTTGCATTAAAAATAAATTTTTGAGTTGGTCTGTCACTCTGCATAGAAGTGTTTTAGGCCAGTGTGTGAAATTGACCTTGGCCTGAAAACTGACCAGTTAGCTGTCACTGCAATACCTCTGTGTTTACCAAACTGGTGGCAGGCAGAGAACTACTAAAGGGCAAAGTCTTCACAATGCAACTACATCACCGTATATCTGTGCCTAGATCCCGACTGACTGCAGAGCAGGCCCTGGATCACCCATGGATCAAGGACAAAGATATTTCCAGCACAAAGACACTGCCTAAGGAGCGTATAAAAAAGTTCCTGGCAAGGCAGAAGTGGCAGGTATGACCCCTACCACCCCATCCCCCCCCCCCCCCCGCCCTCCCTCAGCTCCCCTTCCACACACCCCACCCAAATCCTTATTGTCCTATCTCATTGGAGAGCATTCCAGTCAAAACCTTTTTTTTTTTTTTTTTTTTTTTTTTTTTATAGAGGACCTATGCCTGTTGAAAGATCATTCTCTGCCATTGATGGTGCATGTTTAAAGCCTAAGTGAATGAAACTCATTCAAAAGAAAATGTATCTAAAGCCTTCATTTTCTCTAGAAAACAGTCACATTCCGAGTAGAAGTCTTTCCTCCACCAGCATGCTGCAAAGACAGATCCTTGCTCTGTGTGGAAGCAATGGTCTCTCTGCAGAGGTCCAACATGCTCACTGCTGAGTGAGTTTTCGCTCTGCAGATGGCATGTACATGGCCGAATCTAGGGGGACGCTGAAGGGGGAAACCTGTGCACCACTATATTTTGGTCTTGCCTCCCACCCCCAGCACTAGTGGCAGCAGGGCAGACCCTATAACGAAGCACTGAAGCCCAGCTTGACCACCACGGTGTACATAGACCCCCAAGATTTTGGCCTTTCTCCTCAGGACTAGTAGCATCGGCAGGACAAACCCTAAAATTAAGCACTGACGCTCAGCTCGACCACCATGGTATACATTGTCCCCTGCAGATTTTGGTCTTGACCCCCCAGGACTAGTACCATCAGCAAGGCAGACTCTATAATGAAGCACTGAAGCCCAGCTCCACTGACACAGTACACATGGCCCCCAAGATTTCAGTCTATCCCCCCAGGACTAGTACCATTAGCAGGTCGGACCCTATACTGAAGCCTAGCTCAACCATCATGTTGCACATGGCCCCCCAAGATTTTGGTCTTGCCCCCCAGGACTAGTAACATTGGCAGGGCAGAACTTATAATGAAGCACTGAAGCCAAGCTCGACCACCATGGTGCACATAGTCTCCCCTTCAGCCCCCCCATATTTTGATCTTTGCCCTCAGGACTAGTAGCATCAGTAGGGCAAGCCCTATAATTGAGCGCTGAAGCCCAGCAAGACCACCATGGTGCATGTAGCCCCCTCCCCAGATTTTGGTCTTTCCCCTCAGGACTAGTAACATTGGCAGGGCAGACCCTATAATGAAGCGTTAATAAACTCGGCCTCCACGGTGTACACCAGTCTTGCTTCCAGGACTAGTAGCATCAGTGGGGAAGACCCTATAAAGAAGCGCCGAATCCCAGCCCAACATAGCCACAAGCATACACAGTGCACATGCCACAAGGATGAAATGAAAGCGTTTGCACCCTCAGATCAGACAGGGTAGATCCAGCCCGGGGCAAATCTTGCTGGTTGGGGAGCTTTAGCATTGAATCTGGGGGTGTACATTGTTGGACATCTGCAGAGAATATGGCTTCCTGGAGGAAAGCAAAGTCTAATCTCTGTAGAACCTCACAAGGTTAATGACCTGCTCCTCTCTTTAAGAATTCAGTATTTTGAGCCTGGAAGGAAGTGTGGGGGGGGGGGGGGGGGGGTGGAAGGTCTCACTCTCCTTTACAAATACTGGGTATTTCTTAGTGCTTCTACAAACTAATGGAGCACCGGGGTTGGGGGTGCACAGTGAAGCCAAGTATTGGTGCCCTGAATACACATAGTGACAGGTTGTATTTATACCAGACGCACCATGCCTCCAGCACTGACATGTATTAGTCCTACACAGCCTGTAGTCAGGGTAAACACTGATGCTTTAGAAGTAATAGAAGGCTTCGGGACTAAACCTGATCTCTCCTGCAGAAAACCGGTAAAGCGGTCCTGGCCCTGAAGAGGATGGCGTTGCTCAGTAACAAGTCGGATAACAACTCTCCCTGCCATGGAAGGTGCGGTATTCATCTCCGTCAGCCTTTCCTGCTATTATACCAACCGTGTGAAATGAGTCACTTGAGACGCCCACTCTAATGATCTGTCACTTCATCGGCTCACAGCTCATAAACACTGCGTGACAAAATCACAGGGCCTCCTGCATGTTGGTACTAAGCATAGCTGTACATTTTCCTATAGCCACCAGTCCCAGGCAAACTTCACACTATAAACGTCATCTAATGGGCTGATGGTAAATATGATTGGTGCCTATGGAGGGAAAAAGACAACGGCTTGTCACACTTTGATATGAGGCTTACATTTCCTTCATGTGTGTCTGTTTTTTTTTTGGGTCCCCTTTGGCCTAGGCCTCATGTACACATGAACTCTCCTAGATATTAAGTTCTCCTGGCAGCATAAAAACAGTTTACATGTGTTTTTAGTGCTTGGATGTTTATTCAGTTGATTGGCCAGAGTATTTTCTATTGATCTGGATAAAACATTTAAACATGTTTTTAGCCATTTTTGTTTTTTTTTTTCTCAAAAAGCAACTTTGCCAATAAAAAAGATGGATGCAGTTGCATGTCATGGTACACCTTAAATGATAGTTTATAGCCGGATTAAACAGAATAAGCATTTGCTGGACCAGTAGGAAGTAGTAGGTACATTTATACTAAGAATGAAAGTATAATGGTCAGTCTCCCCATGCCAGGGTTGACGTGATTAGGAAAATACTGTTAGGCAGAACTGGACAGTTAGACCCAAACTCCCTGACACAAGTATTGGGCGTGTTGAGCCACCTATTCCATATTTTATGTCATGGGATAGCCTCTGTGTAAATAAATTTCTTATAGGGGAGTGTCGAGTTGACTTCTATCACTCTAGCTTGGAGGGTAGGAGGTGTAGCCTGCATCCAATGGCATGCTACTAGTTTTCGAGCACTATAGAAGGTTTCATGCAAGAAGGTCATAAAAAACGTATCCTCTTCCAGATCCGAAAGGCGGCCTAGCAGACATTTAGGGTCTAGTTGAAGGGGAGAACCCATATGGTCATGCAAGAACTTGATGATTTCTTCCCAATATGTCTAAATAACTAGACAGGACCACATTAAATGGGGGGGGGGGGGGGGGGGGGAGTACCCATATCCCCATATACCCTGAGCAGCGGGGACACAGAGGGCTCTTCTCTGGGCAAAATCTAGAAACTCTCGAAAGTGGGGTTAGATAAGATCATTATACTATATAGAGCTGAGTAAGTCTATCAGGTAGTCTCGGTGAAACTAGTTTAGCATCTTCCAGAGGCCCAACATCCGGCTCCCAGTGGGTTTTGGCCCTATCCACTATACGGGTAACCATGAGAGCACATAGTGTGGTGTACAGTAAGGATATCAATTTATTTCGTTCTGAACCAGAGATGACGTCTAGCAGGGAAAGGGATGGAAGAGGAGGCACCTGAACAGGGAATTGAACCTGCATGCTGTAGCTGCACATATCTAAATAACATATGATTGGGCCCAGAGGTCGTATGTACCTGGTATGGATATGACCCCATTTTAGAGGTCCATAACTTGGGGTTGGGAATAGAGGTGGCTTACAACCACTTTAAGACCTGGTTCACACTAGTGCAACTTTTTGCACAGAATCCCATGACAAGGGAAATTGCACCCTTTTTTTTTTTTTTTTTTTTTTTTTTGATGCCTGTTCTAATCAATGCGACACTGCATGATTAGATTTTGGAAAAAATTCCTGTTACCTTGGTGCCATTTACAGTACAACCTGGTCCCAAAGAATATGCAAAATCTCTTGCTGTAAAGCACATCAAAATAGTGTGAACCAAGCCTAACCGAGTTCATTTTTAAAAAATGTTCTTTGTGAAATGAAAAGCATGATTCCACCTTGTATCCCAAAACTGAAGAGGAACTGAAAATGAAAGAAGCTCCTATGCTTGTTCTGTACATGAATCCTCTGAGTGTTCAGGGATCACATTTCTCTCTATTGTCTTGTTTGTATCCTGGGAATCATGCAATTAACTACAGTGCAAAAAGGAAACCAGATGCAAGAATGTCTTTGATCATGGATTATCATTGATGAATCCTGACTTTCCATAACATTGCACATCTGCTGTCTTATTGTAGAGGGCGGTGAAAGTCAGGAGGTGTTCAGTTTCCTGCAGGAGCAGCTCCAGAGGCCTCCAGTCTTCTCTTCACCACTGAAGGATCAAGCAGAGGTGGTGGGCAGCTCTGCTCGATTTCACTGTCACATTGAAGGTAAGAGGCTGCTGGGGGTTTTCACATCTTGCATACCCAGATCTTTGCCTTTCTTTCAGTTAAAAGGGCTGTCCACTGGAATAAACCTTTTACCACGTTCTTTCTGAGCTATGAGGCCTTTAGTGTTCGAGGACCATTTTCTTTATAATGAAAAATACTATCCCGTGAGAGAATTAATAAACCAATAACCGAACCTTATTTCACTCCTCAGTTGAGCACAAAAAAAAATTGAATTCAACCAGGTGTGCTATCACAACTCAAATACTTTTCAAAAACATGATATGCAAACACAGAATTGTCAATATGAAATAGTCTGTTTTTGTGTCTTTAACAACACACACGTGAATGTGTGCCGTTCTAGTGTATCCACTTCCACGCTCCCTTGAGTGACCAACACCAGTTGTGCTTTCACCTTAAATATATGCATCCCCCAGAGGAAGTAGTGAATTCTGGTGACGAAACACGCTGGAAGAGAGCCTTGTATGGCATTTACATGCCAAGAAGGAAGTGTGCTACTGGGATTACTAGCCAAAATACTGATTATCTTTTTATACTGTGTAAGTAGGTGCGCGTAAGTGCACTTTTTTTTTTTTTTTTTTTTTTTTTTTTTTTTTTATAATGTGAGTGTGGTTTTATTGGTGGCTTGGTCAAAATAAATTTAATTTTGTTTTTATGGTAAAGCACTGTTTTTTGGTGTGTGGTGTTTTTTGTTTTGTGTTCATCTTTTTGTGATGCTATACATTGTAAGAGTGGTGAAAAGGCCGTTGCTTGCAGAAGATGCCAGTTAAAGGGACTAAACCTTTTTGGATCTGATCAGTGGTGGACAAAAGGTGCTGGAGGAGAGAGGATCTCATTTTTAAAGGAGATACATGCACATATTTCCTTTTCATTAT